GTGCATGGTTACAGTAAYTGGAGAAAAGGACCAGCTCCTTGTGAAAATCCCTAATCTGATCAACACACTATAGTTTTTGTTTCCTTTTTTATTCTTTATTTTGTTATTTTAATAAGATTCATCAAACAAAAATAGTGCTAYATATTACAGGTAATACAATTTTTCGACACAAGAGGGAAACATTACACACTTAACAGATGCTTCTCTTCAATCAGCTGAGCTGCGTTAAACAGGAATTTGGGCAACTAAAAGATCTAAAGGTCAGTTTGTATTGGAGTCATAATGCTTTCTATCTCCACTGACAAAGAGACAATCTCACTGTAACACTGGTTTTCAACACAGACCAGTGTTTAAAACATTATTAGGCTTATTTGTTTTAACTCAGTCAAATTTCAGTTWCCTCAACAGAATCTGAGCGCTATCACATGATGCTCAATCTCACGATATCTTGCATTACATCATTTATAAGGTCTGAACAAAGCAGCTCTAACTCTGGTCCTTCTTAGCATAAAAAATATTTGTTAACGAGATAAAGAGGGCATGTCCTTTAATAAACCACTCAGGAACAAAGTTGCTCAAACTATCATCATAATGCACTCCCAACTCTTCTCCCTTTTGAATAAAAGGTCACATTGTGAGGCAGCTGTAAACTACTTCATCCTAAATGTTTCAAGACGTCAGCTTTTAGCATAATGTTCAGAGTCARGCTAGCTGCTTCACAGCCTCTCAACAATAATTCTGTGTTACAGTAAAAACTGCTGCAGTTCACTGTAATAAAGCAGCTGCAAGGCTTTTCATCATCTTAGTGAGAGGACACCCTAGACGTGAAATGTGTGCTCAATATAAATTTTATCTTTTAATTGCTCCCTCTAATCTTATCGTAAAACGGAGCTGCTCGGTCTGTCATCAATGAACGTACAGAATGTAGTCGGTGCAGGAAAATATAAAAACGGATTAAAGAGAACAGACTGCAGCACACAGTTAGGGGGGTTTCCTCCTCTTCCAGAGTGGTATTAAACTAAAAGGTCTGCAAGGTTATAAAATGCAAAGTTCATAAAAAACTTTGACAAATTATTTTACAAATTCCTGSTTTAACCAAATATGGGATTTAGTTCTGTTTGTTAGCAACAGGAAAATGTCCAAATCAAATTCACTGGTGTCCAAGACAGTTCAGAGTAAATTGTTATAGATTTTCTGAGCTTAATGTGATTTAATGTGAACATATCAGGAGGTGCTGCAGTGTTTCACTTTATTCCTCGTGTCTGCAGGCGGATTCATTCTATTAGCAAAAGACAAGAGGATTTGCCAAAAAAACAGATGAACAGAAATCGGATACAAAAACTAAACAGTGCAGGTTTATATAAGTTTGTTTGGAGCATTTGAGTCAGACTTGAACAGAGCTGAGACATCAGAGTCTCCTCTTCTGACCTCATTTCCAGCTTCAAACTGTAAGCTGCTCGGAAATTCCCCAGAAACTAAATAAAGCGTTTTATGTTCTATTCTCTTTCTGTTCCCTAAATGCCAGATCCTTGACCACTGCATTGCCAGTCACAGATTTGTGTTTTCATCAATCCACCGAGGAAACCAAAATTACATAAATATTTTGTCAAAGACTGATTTTCYAAGTCTGTGAAGAAGTTAATCTACATGATCAATATGATTATTTCTTGAGTGTTAAAGAGTTCACAAGCCACATAAAGCCTGATAAAATGGGTGTGATGTCAGAGAATGTGTTGAAGRTGACTCTCAACTACTAACGYACCAAATTTTMGCTCATCTGAAGAAAATACAGACTTTTTCTCATTTATGGGTTTGCTAATGTAGCTTAGCTTTGACAGCTATATAGATTCCAGACTGAAAAGCACAGATAGTGCTTTCTTTCTGAAAGTTTCACTAACTTAGACCAATGTTCAATGACTAACAGTTAAGACCAAGTGTCCTCCTGATGCATTTCAGCAATCCAGATAGAAAAAAATCAAAAAGAAAAAATAAGTAGGTCCTCTGGATGGGTTCTTCTTTTGTGAAACGTTTTGTCTCTTGTTCTAGAGACTTCTTCAGTCTGATGAGTTTCAGGTGAACTCAGCCTCATAAGCACTGCCTCCACATGGTGGACAAAGAGGYCAGTCATATGCAAAAGAGGGCCATCGCCTAACAATAGGCTTAATTAGCTCTATTGTTCATAGAGGGTCATGTGCCCCATCACCTGACTTATTGGTTTGGATGCTGTGGTTCTTAGGTGTCGTGTCTTGTGTATGTTGTGAATGCAGGTGGGGCTCAACGTCCCCTTGTTTTAAGTTAAGACCAAGGTTTTGAGGAAAGATGGTTCATGGAGGATAACTTTCAGCTGTCAGATCAAATACCTCTGTGGTTGTAAAGTTTTATCCATGTTAAAGTTGATTAGCTGCTTATCAAACTGAAGACTTGATWAGTAGATGTACACATAATGATTACTTTTTGAGTATTTCACAAAAACACACACACTGGATTATGAGATATTTTACTTACCAACAGAAAATCAAACACTCCCACAGAGAATTACTCAATCACCTGCTGCAATGAAAGGTCATGATCATGTAAGCTTAATGAGGGATGACTTGAAATTTCTTCACCATACCTACTGTAAACAAACCAAAGTGAGTACATGTACACATGAGAACATGTCAAGACTGGTTCCTTTCTCCAAATGTAACTTTTTTATTTGAACAGTTTATTTTTATTTTAAAATTCCGGCGTTAAAAATGGTGTTGGCAGTGTTGGAATGAAAGCAGTGCACTGCAGTTAATACCCCGAGTCTTTCACACATACATGCAGATTTGTAAACACACCAGGATTAGCATCAATAACTTCCTCCCACAACCACTAACTACCAAACCCAGCTATCTCTCCCAGTGTCTCCTAACATCTTTGGTTTCCCACGAGTGGCTCGGCAGCCAAGAACATCTTCACGTCCCTAGACTTCAGTGACCACACGCCACTATTTACAGGCTTTTTTTTTTTGCCTCCCACCGTGTTCTCAGCAGGCAGACTCAYGCAGACAGTGTGGACGGAGGAAGTCCTGAACACGAGGTCGACTAAATAACACGGTGGCACAAAGGCAGCGCAGAACTGAAGCATCCCAGGAGTGATGAGACAAGTTAGTTCCCACTTGCATAACCCACCCTACCCCCCAGAGAGGAAATGAATAAGAGTTGGTGCTGGGAAGAGGAGCTGTTGGACAGTTTTTTTAGAAGGTCGTGTGGAAGCTAAATTACACAGACAGTATGCAACAGGAATGCAGTAAATAACAATGTGGTAAAGTTTAAGTTGTACATTCACACTCATGAAGTAGGCCTAAAATATTGAATAAAACAGAACAGAAAGAGAAATAGAAGACCACTAAAGGGGCAGGAGCTCAAGTAAAAAAAACGTGGCACATCTAATAATGCATTGGTTTTATATGGCACTTTTTCTGTCAGGACACTCAAAGAGGCTTTACATTATTCATTCACACAATGTAGCCACAGCTGGCCTGGGGCAGACTGACAGAGGCGGGGCCTTACTGTGCCACCGGCCTCTCTGACCACCAGGCAAGGCGGGTAAAGCTGGAATGGGGGGATAGAACCGGTTACAGGAGACTCCCCTAACCACTCTGCCACAACCGCCCCCATATTACCAGATTGTAGGGCAGTATTTGGAAGACACTATGTGGTCCCCCCTTTTAATTAACRGGACCATCACCCTAGTCTACCAATGTCCTCACAATATTGTAGAGCTGCATCAAACAACACAACCCCACAACATCCAGAGCCTTAAGAAACTCTGGGCTAATCTCATCCACCCCTGGGGCCTTGCCACCGAGGAGCCTTTTAACCACCTCTGTGACCTCAGCACCAGAGATTGGAGAGACCAACCCAGGGCCCCCAGGCTCTGCTTCCACATTGGAAAATGTGCTGGTGGGATTGAGGAGGTCTTCGAAGGATTCTGCCYACCGAAYCCACAACGTCCCGAGTCGAGGTCAGCAGCACMCCATAAACARYGYTGGTGGTGGACCRCTCCCCTCTCTAGGCCAGATGCTGGACCAGAATTGTCTCAAAGCCAAACAGAATCATTCTCCATGGCCTMTCCAAAMTCCTCTGAACTGCCCAAGTTTTTGTCTCAGCGACCACCCGAGCCGTAATCCGCTTGGACCGCCACTACCTTTGAGCTTCTTCCGGAGTCCCACAAGTCAAAAAGGCCCCATAGGCCCCCTTCTTCAGCCTGACAGCAATCCACACCACAGATGTCCTCCAGTGGGTTGGATGGCTGCCGCCGCGACAGACACCGACAACCTTGCAGCCACAGCTCCGAAAAGCCACCTCAACAGTGGAGGCACGGAACATGGCCCCAGCAGATTCAATGTCCCCCACTTGGCCCAAGTGGCTAGGGAGAGGGAAATCTGGGTTTCTCTGCTTAGGCTGCTGACCCTGTGACCCAACTCTGAATAAGTGGAAGAAAATGGATGGTTGGATTGATTTAGGTGAATTTCAGATTTGTGAACAACTTCCTTACAAAAAAGTAACCATCATTTTTTTAGGGGGCGCGGAGTTCAAGTTTGGGGAGACTTGAGCACCCCCCAACAAAGGACTAATATCACCTTTCCTTTCAGTGAGACTTGCTGCTAATAGGATCGTTAATGAAACTGTTGCTGTTCAACTATTTTAAAGTTGCTTTCTCACTCCCTGTCTACAGAAACCTTTGGAATAAAATTGCATTGTTTCATTAGCAGCTGAAGACAATTCARTTTCTTATAACTTCATCTAAACTTTTGTTTGTTACAATGAATCGTTGTTAAATGCAATAGTTAGAAGATGCTTGTAAGCTGTTTAAATTTGTACAGATGGCTGCTGCTTCTTTCTCCGACAGAGAGACAGGGTGGGGGATGGGTGAAGGTGGCAGGAGGAGGGAGGGGAGCAGCTGATGATGATGTCAGATGGCGGTGGGATGTCTTTTGTGTGAAAAGGAGAGAGAGAGAGAGAGAGAGAGAGAGAGAGAGAGAGAGAGAGAGAGAGAGAGAGAGAGAGAGAGAGAGAGAGAGTCCTGAAGATAGGAAACCCACGGAACGAAGGGCTAGAGAAGCACGGCTGCCGCAGGAAAAGGAAGCAGAACTTTTCCTCCTTTCGTCTCCAGAGTCTCTCAGCTTCATGTGAGTAGAAAACATGCAACAAGGAAAAAGTCTGGCTTTCATGAGATATGAGGATCATTTAAAAAAAAAAAACAGTTGCTTTAGATTGTTTTAAAAGTACAATCTCACTCCCTGTCTGCAAAAAAGTTTGAAATAAGCTGAAGACAATATGATTTCTTATTATTTCATCTAAACTTAAGTTTGTTACAATGAATGATTGTTAAATGAGATAAATAGAAGTTGTCTTTAAGGTGGTTAGATTTGCAGAGATGACTGTAACACTTTGTTCRGATAAAACATGTGGTAACAGTTGAACATCACACCACTCTGCCTGTTAAAGAAATTACCTCCATGTGGAAAAAAACATGTTTTTTTTTTTACTTCTCAATCTGTCTTTCATACATGTTCCCCACCACCACCACCACCACCACACACTTTGTTCCACAACTTCTTGTCCTTGAAGTACAGGGAGGAGGTCCATCAATGTCAGAGCCACCCATGGAGGCTTGTTGCACTGCCTGGGAGGGGAAGTGGTGCTGCATCAAAACCTAAACAAAACCCGAACCAGCTGACGTGTTTATAGAAACTGAATTCAAGGACAAACTGGAACAAAGCAGAGACAAGAGAAAAGCGCTCAGTCTCAGCATTTTGCTTGTGGAGGTTGCTGAAACGAACAAACTTAAGTTAAACAGATATTTGTCAATTGCAGGGATTTGTTTCAAGGTGCTTTAACTTTATTGTGATGTCCTAACAACTTGGTTCTAGTTTTGCAAACAGAAATAAGAAGGGATTTGCAAAGACTAAGCAAACCGCAGCTACATTGGTCAATGGTCACTTGATGCAACATTTAGTGAAACTGAAACTAAAACAGGGGTGCCCAAACTTTTCCCTTCTGAGAGGGCCGAAATTAAAATCTTCTTGATTGCTGCGGGCCAAATGCAATAATATAATACAAGTAATGCAAATTCTTTAAATAAAGTACTTTTGTTTTTTTATGGTTAAGCTGGCAGCCAGTGCGGTGGCCCACTTGGAGAAAGTTTGACATACGCTCAGGCAGCAAAGGCTCATGGGACATTTTGTACATAGATAAAATTTGAGCATTTGTGGTCTAATAAAGTGTACAAATCTACATGTGTGCCCAAATCTTATCTAAATGTCTCTTGTAGTAACTTGTATTTCATGTTTAACCTTAAATGGTAAATGGACTGAACTTAACATAATTTAAAGATAAAATATGCACCATGAGTGAAAACTACCTGCACTATAGCACTTTATATAGTCATTGGACCAACAGATGGAAAGATTGTAAGTGGAAATTTCTACGTAGACAGGAGATTGTAACCTAATATGAGAGCAACTTCTGGCAGGCCAAAACAAATGGCTTGGCAGGCCAATTTTGGCTTGCGGGCCACACTCTGGGCACCTCTGAACTCAACATTTCTTCATGTTCTCATTATTTTCAGTCAGATTTGAGTTGCTTAAAGTTTTTGTGACAGTCTGAACAACTAAGGATAAGGCAGAATGTCTGCTGAAAAATGTAAAAGAAAAACAACACACTTCTTTCCTTTGTGTGTGGTGTGTCAGAGCGGCAGGTCTTTTTGTCAGAAATAAGCAGTAAATTAAGCTCACAGTTGGTGGGATGAAGCCGTACGTTATTCTCTGCCTTTACACACACACACACACACACACACACACACACACACACACAC